CCTGGGATCCAGATCCCAACTCCATCATTCTCCCCTCAAACAAATGGGACCCAAATTCTTTTGGGGTAAGAGGTGAAGGTCTCGGTTTCCGAAACTGCTTCCTGCTGGCAAGGGACTTAGAGCTGTCCCTGCCTCGGGGGGTCCCAAAGAGGAGGTTGACTGGAACCCACCACACGCTGCATCCAGGGAACGATGAGGGGTCATTGGCTGTCATTCTTCCAACTTTTGATGGGGTCAAGCAGAACAAACCAAACCAGACTTTCAAAGACTTAAAGACCAGTTGCCATGTCCTCCTCCTAAGCTTTCTCCACTTCAGACTCAACACACCCAGTTCTTTCAACTGATCTGTACATGGTACCAAGTCAAAACCTTTAACCATCACAGTTGTTTGCTTCTGGATTCTCTTCAGCTTATGATTGTTTTTCCTAAACTGTGTGGTGCCCTCTTCAGTTTCCCTTTGTTGTTTAGTCATTTTCAGTCATGTCTGACTCTTTGTGACCCCATTTAGGGTTTTCTTGGCAGAGATAATGGAGTGGTTTGCCATTTTCTGCTCCAGCTCATTTTACAGATGAGGAAACTGAGGGAAACAGGGTTAAGTGATCTGCCCAGGGTCTCACAACTAGTAAGTGCCTGAGGCCAGATTTGAACTCATGAAGACTCATCTTCCTGACTCCAGGCCTTGTGCTCTATCCACTGTGCCACCTACCAGCCCACAACTTCTGAAAATACAGTGCCTAAGACTGAAAACACAGCTTCAGACATGTTCTGAGCAGCATTATCTTGGACTCTATGACTTCCTTGATGTACAAGACTGCAGTAGCTTCTTTGATTGCTCTATTATACTGCTGATTCATAGCTTCCAATCCACTCAAATTCTCCAATCTTTTTCAGCCCAACCATTGGATCGCCATAGCTCCAACAGCCAGTCCAGGTGCAGTGGCAGTGTTTCATACCATCCGCCCACCCTACCTCATCCCATCCAGCAGGGAGGAGCAAGCTGTAAGGTGACCAAGGCCCAGTTGCTCTCTTCCTTTGCTCTTGGTTCGTGTCAATTATTCACATAAAAATTTCACATATTTGAGAAATGGAAAGTAGGTAATTGAGTCAATAGTTTTTTTATATTCTCTTGGGTGCTTTTTTTCATTCACAATAAAGTTTTAGTTTTCCCCCCAACTTTATTATCTTCCTTTGCTTGAATATCAACCTCTTAATAATCTCAAAATGGAGATGATGGGGTTGGGATCTGGGCCCCAGAAAGGAAAAACCCTGGAGGCTATAATCCCATCAACTGGCCTTTCATTGTGGCTACACCCAATCTCCCCCCACCCTTAAGGCTCCATGAGGTCCAGGTCCCAGGAGTTCTGTTCACCCCAGCTTACTGGCCACTGCTAGATCCCTCCCACAGTTTTTCTGTATATAAGGTCCATCTTGTCTCCATTAAGATGCTCAGATTCTTATAATCTAGCCAGAGCTGGGATTCGTAAAATCTAGCCACTGCTGAGATTGTTAAAATCTAGCCACTGCTCTGATTCTTATAATCTAGACAATAGCTTACTAATGTTCAGACTCCTTAAGAGTCTGCCCAATATGATGGATGTTCTAATAAACCTTGTCTTTGGCTGAAAGAAGGCTTGGGTCGAATTCTTTCGCGCAGGATCCACATGCTGTGATTTTGGGGTCCCAGCACCCCTGAACCCCTAAAACGCATCATACCCCTAAACCGCATCAGAGTCTCCTCTAGTAGAGAACTCCTCTGCAGATCCTTGGTTCAGCCTATTTCCTTTCCCAGCTTTCTTTTCTGTATTATCATTTCCATTTCTTCTATAAGCACATATAAGCTTGTCATAAAGCCCAAAAGATTTTGTAATTTTTTTAAAAAGCATTTATAGACCTTTTCTTTCTTTTCTGTTGTCTGTCCAGTTTCATCTGAAATGTCCCCAGGATGACATTTATTTAGTTGGATCTTTTTGTCAAATTTTCTATAAACTCTTTTTCTTCCACTGCTGCTATACTACTCTTAAACTTCTACCATCCTTCTTTTAAGACTTACAAAGAGGTTTATATTCTAAACCAGGATTGCCTTTGGCATCCATATCTCTGCTTCACAAATAACTCACATTTGCTGACTAAAGCATGTTTTAGGCTCATTTGGTTTCTTTATGGGAACTGATTTCTATCAGTTGAACTTCTGTATAAACATTATAATCAGTCAGCAAACAAACATTTATTGAGTGTTTATTATGTGCAGGACACTATGTTAAGCACTGGGAATACAAAGAAAGGCCAATAAATTGTCCTCACTCTCCAGGAGAGTACATTCTAACGGGGAGGGACAACATGTAAATAACTTGTATACATGGAAAATGTATACAGAGTAGATTAAAGTAATCTGAAAGGGGAAGGTACTAACAAATGAGAAGGAGGACAAGAAAGGCCTCCTGCAGAATGTGGGACTTGAGATATTTTGAAGAAAATTTAGGAAATTAAGAAGTAGAAGCAAGGGAACATTCTAACCAGGGGGTCAACCCATGCAAAGTCACTGGGATGGCAGATGTAGCTTTGTATTAGGGAAATGAAAACAGACTAGCTGGATCACAGAGTTTATAGACAGGAATAAAGGTAGGAAGGGGTCAGGCTATGAAGAGCTTTCAATGCCAGTGTAATCAATGCTACTATCCTTTCTTTTATCCATTTCCTATTTTTCTGCATCAATAATTCTTTTAAATAGATCAGGTTGTATTTACTTTATTTTCATGCCATCTTTTTCTCATTTTCATTTTTTTTCTAAAGTTTTATATTACCATGGGTCTTAGCTCTGAAAAGTCAGTGGACTTCATGGACAGCAAATTCAAGAATAAGTCCCACAGCAGGGAAGAGTTACTTCCTGTCAAATTTCATTTTGTGATTTTCTTTTTGAGTGCTGACCATGTCCAACCCTTTTCAGTTCTTTTCTTGAATGAAGTAAGTGTTCATGATATATAAGCATGAAGTTTCTAGGTAGTCAATGGAAAGTCAGAATTAAATCTTTCTTTACTCCTGAAACTTATTTTCAAACCTAGTTTTGCATTATGCTCACTTATACTTATCTTTCCTCTGAAGTCACCAAGTATCAACTTATTAATTTGTTTTTAAAGTTTTATTAATGTATTTTGGTTTTGCATTATAGACAATAAAAGGTTACCCCCTGTAATTACAACATTACGTATTACAAGAGAGCTCTCACATAACAAAGCAAAACAATGAAGTAAAACTAATAATAGAGTAACATCATCTAAAGCTGTATACAACATTCCACATCTGTAGCACATCTCTTCTATTTTAAAAGAATTTTAATGAACAAAAATATATTTTCTCTCCCTCCAATCTCCTACTCAATTAAAAAAAGAGAGAGAAGAAAAGTAAATCCCTTGTAATAAATATGTGTAGGCAAGCAAAACAAATTTTCTGATGCAAATTATCTGTATGCAAAAATATATGTTTCATTTTTGCATCCTAAATCTATACTCTCTGTCAAGAGGTAGATAATAAATATCATTAATGGTTCTCTGGAATTATGGGTGATCATTGTATTGATCTAGTTATTTGTTTTTAGAGTTTTGTTGTTAGTGAATAAATTGTTTTCCTAGTTGTACCCATTTCATTCTTTATCAGTTTATCAAAGTCTTCCAAATTGTTTGGTTTTTATTTATTGACTGATTTAATTTGGAAGCTCTTTTCAAATTATTTGTAGAATTTCTCTACCTACTCATATTTTGCAGTAGACCTTTTAAATAAACTGTGATTATTTTCATGGTGATCAATTCTTAAAATATTATTATGAGCACCTGAACACAAGATAACTAAATATCACCTTGATATCATCCTATCACAATATGACCAAATGTTGCCTCTGGATGAAGAGTAAACGACAATTTCATAAACTCTTCTTTTGCCTCTCCAAAAATAACTTCCATGTCATTGTTGCATTTTAGATGTACCTTCTTTCTGTTTTTTGGTTTCAATTAGAGAGAGAATATCAAGATATTATCAAGTAATATTCAGTTACCTTAATAGTCTATCTACTCACTGGTGGACAAAGATTTAAAATACTAACCATTAAGGTACTATTTATAGAATATCTATGTGATTCTTCACTCCTTTGCACCCTTTTCAGCCACTGGCACTGGTAGAAGCAGACAGAGAATAACGGGCCATTTTGTATTTTTTGTTGTTGTATTTCTTTTTTATTATCATCAAAGAATCCATCACCAAGTAGCCATCCAATTTAACTGATGAACAGACTCAATTTGTTACCAGGACCACATCTGAAGCTATCCAGTATAGAACCTGCCACATCTTACACTTCCAATGCTTCATCATGGTGTAGGGAACACCAGGAACTAAGAGCAATCACTGAGAATGCCCAGTTATTTTGGGGTTATAACAGAATTACCTATTTAAGTAAACAATGATACTTTGAAGGATAGGCATATTAATGTTTTCAGTATGTATTAACAATATAGAAATGACCTTATATATCATAAATAGGTCCTTTATATCTTAGATGTTCTAAGTGACAATATGGAATTCTTTCGTATGGACTGATATATACTATAGTCATTTCTGAAACTAAGTAGGTAAGATTAAATTTAGGAAACCAAACCAACTCTAGTGTTAGGGGATTCCTGGAAAATGCAGCCTATGTTAGAACAGGGGCTCTGTACCATTTCAGGATAATACTAGTAGATTTCAAAAAAAGAACTCAGGATTCAGTCTAAAGCAGAACTGTTTACATCTAAGACAGTGCAAATAAACAATGAGTTAGGCCCAGAATTGAACATGAGAAGAATAAGCTATAATGCCTCTTTGGAATTACAAAATTATTTTAATGATCTCAAGATTCTGCCTGAAACAAAGATCCATCTTTTTAACACCAACATTCTTCCTGTGATGTTGAACGGTTATGAGTCATAAAACACTGTAGTATTTACAGAACTGAAGATAAGGATCACCCAAAGAGCAAAGCAGAGTTTTATGGTGGGCACAAGAAGGATGCAACTCATTATAAAAAAAGAAGTTATGGCAAACATCAAAGGAATGTTTAGGGGAAAAAAAGATTGGATGGTCGCATGGTAAAAGTGAAGAATAACCATTGGTTGATCTATGTGCTCCACTGGTGTTCTCCTGATACGAGGAAAAGGAAAAAGGAAGACAATCTGAAAAAGGTACCCAGCATGTTGGGTGAACCACCCCACTTCCCTATAGTGAACCCAGGGAAGGACCTGAACATGAGTTGCACGGGAGAGTCAGCCATGGATAGGTTGGAATTTAGACCTTTGGAGATAATATCAACATTGACAAGATGATAAGACCACTGAAGGACTGGAGTAAGATTTTAAAGTCACATTTCTCACAACAAATAAAGCTGAAAAGTCAGCCCAGCAGTGTGACTTTGGGCCTGTCACTTAATGTCTCAGTGCTCCTAGCCAATTCTTTACCACTCTAGGTGGAAAAAAAAAAGTGTTGATCAATATTGGTAAAGGAAGTTCCTCACGGGGAACACCCTAAAACAATGAAATCACAGGCCCAGGTAAAAAAAAATATGTCCTCCAAGATACAGAAACCCTTTCTGTAGAATACTAATGGCTAAGGAGTTACCTACAAACCCAGGCTCAGGAGCATCCCTAAGAACCACTACTGAGACTCCTTACCATAATTACTCCCAAAGCTATGGATGTATATCTAGAACCAAGTTCACAACTCAAAGCTAGAGACTCTTACCTGGTAGGAGCAGAGAAATTAACCTTTGCTGACCAGTGGTATCAACAGAGGAAGAGCATCAGCATTACTTACCACGGGGAGCACATGAGTCAATAGAAGTTCCTAAGAATCTAAGTTCTTATTTTCCTAAGGTCCAATTTTTTCTTGCAGGAGATGGATTCACTTATAGATTCAACTTTATCCAAGGCCTAAAGAAGACCCTTTGAAAATGATTTTCTCAAAAAAAAAAAAATGATTTTCTCGGGGCAGCTAGGTGGTGCAGTAGATAGAGAACCGGCCCTGAAGTCAGGAGGACTTGAGTTCAAATCCAGCCTCAGACCAAACATTTGACACTTACTAGCTGTGTGACCCTGGGCAAGTCACTTAACCCCAACTTCCTTAAAAAAAAAAAAGAAAGAAAATGATTTTCCCCTTCTATCTTCTGTCCCAACTCCTACCCAAAGAGTTCAAAGCCCTCAGTTCTTACACAGAAATTCAGATCTTTGCATGTACTCCAATTTCAGTTGTACCCCAGAGAACAAGAAACTAAGAGCTAAAGATGCCAATCTTAACATCCTAACAGGTTAAGCATTCTGACTGTTCCGTCTTGTCCAGAAAGTCTGCCTGAACTACAGATGAGACTGGGGCTGAGTCTGGAGCTGAGGGCATTTCTGGACCTGCAACTAGGGCATAACTGCAGTGTTGGGAAGGTTGCTGGAGAAACCACAGAGTCAGAGAGTTTGTACCAAGTCCAAGGTCCTGGGTCCTGCCCAACATTGAGAACAACAGCAGTATAGCAAGAACAGTAAGAACAAGAATACTACAGCAACACCAGGGCAAGATCTGGATGGTGACAGGGACAGATGAAGGATGGCAACAAAGGTGGCAACAGCAGGAGGCAGAAATTCCAAATCTTTCATAGCCAGTCAATGCAAAAACAGACTTTAACAGACAAAATTTCAGTTCATATTTAACCTGGCAGGAACACATGTATTGTAATAGCTATACCAAGACTCAAAATGACACAGAATACATAATTGAATCCGCCTTTTAAAGAATGCCAATATTCAAAATAAAAGTCTTAATGACCCAAAACTCAAATCCTAAAACACTCCAAGAGAAAGACTAATCAAAATAGTATTTATCACAAGACAAAGTAGTCTCATAAATAACTGATTTGTACTTTTGTAAGCAGTCTATAACCTAAGAAACTATCTTGGTTATTTTAACGGCAAAGCTTACTATTTCAATAATTTTACGAATTAATTGACTTACCTGTAGCATCTATCTGTAAGTGGAGTAATAACCAAACGAGGAGTATTACCTAGGTATTCATATCCATATCGTAACCCAGCATTGATCATCTTTGTTTCCAAGTGCTCCTCCTAAGATCAAGTAATAAACAGAAGCAATTTAAAAGTAGAATCTGACATGTCAAATGAAAATTCCAATTTAGGCTCTTCTTTAGACTTTTCAGGAGGCAGTATATTGAAAAGAGCACTGAACCTGGAGTTAAAAGAGCTCAGTTATAGTCCTAGTTTGGTCACTAATTATCTACATGGTTTTAGAAAGCCAGTTCTCCTACACAGGCCTCAACTGCTGCATTTGTAAATCGAGGGCTGTGCTATATATGATCTCTAAGTTCCCCCAGCTCCAAAATTCTACTCTTCTGACAATCTTTATAAACAACTCTTGGGGTTGTAAGATATAGGTAGGGGAATAAAATGAATATCTTTAACAGAGAAGCTTTCAAAATTATTCATTGTTTCAAATTAAAGTTTATTGTGAACATATTTTTATGATCTTATTTATCCTGTGATTTCAATCACATTTTCCTCAAATAAAGTGCAATGACCTGACGAAACTTTTAGTTTATAGAAAGAGAAGGGTTCATTCTTAAAGATGAAAGAGATTAAACAGTAACGACCCGAAAAGAAGAACTCAAAGGAAAAGAAAGTAGTTGACAAGGCCAGATAAATAAGGTAGATCAGTAAAATGAGATAAGGTAGAACAAAGGAATAAAGGTCATTGTAAGTGAAACAAATTGGTAAAACAAGTAAGAGATTGTGAGAAATGGGAAAGTAAGTAGAGTGTGATTATAAAGTTGTTAAAAGGTGATAAAAGGCTGCAAAGATCTTAAGAAGGTAAGATGTGAACACTCAAGCAGTTTAAGAAAATAAGGCTCAGGGGCAGCTAGGTGGCTCAGTGGATCAGTGGATAGAGCAACCGGCCCTGAAGTCAGGAAGACCTGAGTTCAAATCCGAACTCAGACCAAACACTTGACACGTACTAGCTGCGTGACCTTGGGCAAGTCACTTAACCCTGATTGCCCTATTTAAAAAAAATAATAATCAAAAAAAATAATACTCAATCAGTATGGAAGGAGAAAGGGTGGTGTGGGGTGACATTGGGTGTGTCAAGTTTATCTCTGGGTCACAGCCAAGTGACAGTTGTCTACAATGGTTTCTCCTCCACTGAAGTGAAAGAACTCAAGGAATAACTCTCAACGTCAAAGGATCCAGGACGAAGAAGTGATCTTAAAAAAAAAAATACAAACAGGAAGAACCAGGAACAGAGCTTCATTTAAAAAATAAATCAAGGGATTTGAAGTGGAAAGTTGAAAATTTGACTCTGGCCAAAAGGTCAGGAATAATATCCTAGAAAGGATGAAGGGAAGGGAGAGGATAATTATACAATTGAAACTAAAAACAAATTTGGGGATCTTCCTGAAGAGAAGAGAGATGTTTGCTCTAAAAAGAGGGTAGCTGCTGGTCCTTCAAGGAATGATAAAGTAGAGCCAAGGAATGTGTTAGGTAAGAAGTCGTCCATCCAGGAAAGGTCAGAGGAAAAGGAGGAGAGTGCTGTTGTTTAATGCTTTTTTTGCTGAGAGGGTAGGAAAACAACTATTTATTGATTTGATAATAGCCTTAGAGAGTTTTCTCTTCATAGGACATGAATTTGATACATAACAGAGAACCTCCACAGACTTATTTCAATAAACGACTCTGAATCACTTTTGGTGATTCACATGTGGCACTAAAAATATTGTCAGAAGGAATCTAGAAAGTATTGGCAGCAATTATAAAGCTTTGCCCAAGAAAATAAATAGGAACAGAGATTGTATTTTCCTCATTGTTGACCATTTAAAGCAAAGGAATACTGATGTGCAAAGTGAACCACTGGCTTAAAAAAAAAAAGATGTCTACAAATGGGATTTGGATTTCTTAACAACAGCTTAAAATTTACAAATGACAAACTTCTGGCTGAGGATGCTAACTAGAATGCTCCTAACAAAGGCTGGTGTATTTGTGAATCTAATCAGGAAGGCTTTAGATTAAAAAAGCCCTGGGAAGGAAAAAAAAACTGTCATACTATAGAGACTAACTACAATAAGGGAAAAGATTAGTAGTTCAGATACCCAGAACCACACAGGAGACAAAATGCAAGGAAGGGACTAGTAGTAAAATCCATGGCCTTAAACACCTATACCTAAATGCCCAAAGTTTAAGCAACATGCAAGAGACATAAGAGGTCCTAATGAAAGAGCTAAATCAGACTATCACTGAGACTTGGTGGGATGAAAACCATGAGTGAAATAAGTATCTGGATGGGTCTACTGTATTCAAAAGTGATAGGAAAGATAAAGAGTAGCACTATATATTAGGAAATTATATTCATGTGAGGAAACCCAAGTTGGGCAGAGGAAGTGGACTGGAGAGTATTTGGAGGATGATCAATGGAAGGATAAACATAAATGATTTTGCCATCTGAGCATACTAACAACCACCTGGAAAGAGAAAACAGATGAAGAGTTCCAGAAACATCAGAACCCTGGAACAGAGGTATAATGCAGTAGCAATGGAGGATTTCTATTATCCAGAATTCTGGAGCTCTCTTCCTCTCCCAAAAGCAGACCATCTTGTTTCTTGACTTATCAACAATTTCATCCTTCAAAAGGTGATGGAAACAACAAGGGGAAATTCTATACAATATATAATTTTCATCAACCGGCAGGAAGCAGGAACTAGTGGCTGAACTAGAAACTCTGGGAGGAAATGACCTCTCCCTCCTAGAGTTTGTGATAGAAAAGAGGAAAGCTGAGTTTAGACTGATATGTACCCTAGATATTAGGAGGGCAGATATCAAAGGGTTCAGAAGGAAATATAGACTCTCATGGACTAAAATTCAACAGAGCAAGTTAGCCCAGGAGAGATGAGAATCTATCAGTAATGAAATTTGGGAGATATAAAGGTAATAGAATTATAAAAACATGACACAATCAGTGCTAGGAATGAAAAAGCTTGTAATGAGCTGAAGCTAGTTTGAAATGCCAGTGTTTGGGGATGCAGCACCAAGACGGCAGAGAAAAAGCACAGACTTGGCTGAGCTCTCTCCAAAACCTCTCCAAGCAACTTTAAATAATTCCTCAAAACAAATTCTGGAGGAGCAGAATCCACAAAAAGATAGGGAGAAACACTTTCCAGCCCAACACAACTCAGAAGGTCAGTAGGAAAGGTCTGTTGCACTAGCGTGAGAATAGAGCACAATCCAGACCAGGCCATGACCCAGCAAACCAGCAGTAGGCCTTGGGGGGTGGGGGGGAGGACTTATTCAGTGGTGGCAATGGTGGTTTCTAAACCTTTCAGCATACAGAGTAAGAGGGTCAAACAACTGGTCAGAAGGAGATTACAGGGGTCCTTTTGGTGGCACCAGAGTCAGGACTCTATTGCACTGCCCATACTTGGATGCAGGTCGCAGTCCTGGGTCTCAGCCCCAGGGCAAGGAGGAACACTAGCACACCAGAGATTGCAGCCGTAGGGGAGCTGGGATCCTGGTCAGAGTTTCAGGACAGAAAAGAGTGCTTCTTCACAGCAGTACAATGATCCAAGACAATTCTCAAGGACTTATGATGAAAAACACTATCCATCTCCAGAGAAAAAACAAACGGAGTCAATGCGGATCAAAGTATACTTTTTCTTTATTTTTGTTCTTTTCTTTTTGGCTGTGTTTTCTTTCACAACATGACTAACATGGAAATGTATAAACATGTATAACCTATATCAAATTGCTTGCCTTCTCAATAAGGTGGGAGGAGAGAGAAGGAGGGAGAGAATTTGGAACTCAGAAATTTTAAAATAAATGTTAAAAATTGTTTTCGCATGTAATTGGGGGGAAATAAAATATTATTTTTTTAAAGTATCCCTGAGCCCCTAAAGAGTGTTTTCTATTTCAACCAATGGAACTGTTTTCTGTGATGTAGAGAATGGTTAGAGGAACCAAATTCTCAGACAGGTAGAACATGATGAAGTCCACCTTGGTCAGGGAAATAAAAAGTTTATGGACGGTAAAGGTCCTTAAACAGACACTCGGGGAAGTATCTGCATACACAGTGAAAAGGAGCTGCTTCCACCTGCTTTTCCAGCTTTTATGTGCTTTGTGAATGGCCTTGATGGTTTTCTATCAGTTGGGTGTTGTGGTATATGTCTGTAATCTTCTGTCACCAGGGAGACTGTGAGGCTAAGGATGTCTTGAACGCAGGCATTCTGAGTTGCAATGGGCTAAGCCAATTAGATAACCACATTAATTAAGCATGGTGTATTTTTGGGAACAGATGCTACCAAGTTACCTAATGAAGGACAAACCAGACTAAGCTAGAAAATGCAATAGGTCATCAGAGTAGGACCAGACTAGGGAGTAGCCCTTACACTTTGAGCCAGGGCAAGATAGAGACACCCAGTTTATCAAAGAAAAAAAAAGGAGGGGAGAGAAGAGGACAGGAGAGGAAAGGGAAAGGAGAGGAAAGTTCTTCAAAGCACAGCTAATTCTGTAGGTCATTTTTTTCCAGACTAATTGTTACTGTAGCACCCTATAATCAAGGCCCTCTACTCTAGTATCCCCATCTGGAGAGCCTAAAAAGTAGCAAAAGGTTCCAGCATTGTCTGAGTTGCTGATTGAGGGATGATTTGGGTATGTGGCAATGTCACCAATGTTCGTCTGTGATTGTAGGTCATTAACAAGTACAGAAGGAGAGAATGACCTGGAGAAAAATAACTAGAGAGCTATGCTGATTATAGCCAGGATTCATTAGTACCAACAAAATGAGAGGAAGAATGGGCAGGAGTTAGGAAAGAGAAGCCAATGCAGCAGTTGAGCAAGGACTGGGGCAGGGGGTGGTGGGAGGTGGGAGGGTTCAGTATAGAGTTGGTCCAGTGGTAATATCACAATTGGCAAATAAGTCTGTCTCACATAACATTATCAGAATAATGAGGACAGCTTTTATTTGAGCTTCACAACAACTTTACTGCTCCACTATCATTTTTCCTTCCTCTCTCCACTGGGCAAGCAGGTAGTAATTCAAAAATAAATTGCACATTGATGGCAATGAGTGTCTTTTGATGGCCTGGCACAGCCAGCACAGCCATGTACCATCTGGTTTTTAAAACTGTTGATCTCTGTTGGATCCTAGTGGTTGGTCAAGATCTAGTGCCAGAGGTGTTTTGGTTTTGTTTTTTTTTTTTTTTCACAAAATCAATGCTTTTTAGAACTGGAAAAGACTTTAGCAGTGATCTAACATAAGAGCTCTTAGCCTTATTTTTATGTGATGGCGGCCTGATGGCACCTATGGACGTTTTCTCAGAATAATGTTCCTAAAAACATATAGGAAATTTAACTCTATTGAAATACAGTTATCAAAATATTTTCAAATACAAATTTATGGATCCCAGATTAAGAACCTTTGATCTAGCCCATCATTCTTATTCTTCTCATTCTGAAAATGAGGAAACTGAGAAGCCTTATCATTTCAACACATAGAGGGATGGAAAATGTCTGGGTCAGGAGAAAATCTTCTAATAAAATTTTTAAACTTTTAATTATATTTTTAAACTTCTATTTTTTTAACTCATTTTACTTTATCCTTTTTAAACTCTTTTCACTTTGTACTTTATACTTTTTTAAGCTCTCTGAAGTTCAGTGTTCTTTCAACTATATCACAGCTATAAGCTATCATTGTGATTATGTAAATATCTATTTCAGCATGCACAGAGGTTATTTCTGTACTAGAGCATACATAATCATATCTGAGCCCCTATAAAGACAGACACTCTGGCATACCAACTACAAAGAACAATATATATATATACATATATGATACATACAAACATGTATATGTATGTATATCACACATATAGCAATCAAGTGACTAGTATATATACATAATGCACACATATATTTCTTCCTATACCCATATGTATATGTGTATATATAACATATATACACACATACATATAGCAAGAAAGAATTCTTTTTACTTTCATTCCTGAAATGATAACATTTCTTTTTATACTATTAAAAATGTTTTCCACAACATAATTTTTATAAATCATTGGAAACAAAAACTTTGAACTAGGCCTATCAAAACTCTGTAACTTAAATAGAAAACATAAAATCTATAACTATGCAGAGTGTGGTCACGCTCAATTGTTGCCCAGAACGTGGGCAAACACCTTGACCTTTGAAAGATAAATCTCACCACTGTGCAATATAATATCATTGGAGAACACCTCTGGATATGTTCAATATGTTTCCACTAAAAGAAGGTACCAACATATATACTAACTACTTGTAAAGCTAATGATTCTCAATGTGGGATATCTTCTCCTGATAAGCATAACTGATAACTGAATGATCATTTGAATACAAGACTTTCTAAAAAAAATTATGACTACGTACTTAGCATGCAGGAAACTTTCTCCAACTAAGGAATAAAAATAATGAAGTAGCAACATTGTGAGAACAAATGAGATATGAGGTATGTGAAAGGGTAGACTGTAAAACTATGCAAATGTAAGGGATTCTTTATTATTATTATTATTATTATTACCCAAGCTTACATTGCAAAATGTAGGACATGCCAAGCAACTTTCTGCTACTAAACACATACACGTATTAAAGGAAGGAACTTAGNTTACCCAAGCTTACATTGCAAAATGGAGGACATGCCAAGCAACTTTCTGCTACTAAACACATACACGTATTAAAGGAAGGAACTTAGAACAAAAGATTGACAAAAAAATGATGGGACATCTGATTCTTTTTTGTTCTCACCTAATCTCCCTTTCATTTGAATAGGAGACAAATAGATCATGGGAGGTGAGGAAAATTTAGGGGATCACAAATCACCTTCCCATGGAATTTTGTGGAAAGGTCACTCTTAAAAATGATGTTGTAGGTGGGATAATCAGGAACTGATGAAAGTTAAAGGTATCTATCTAACCCTAAGACTGACAGAAGCTTGGAAAAAACATACTGCTCCCAAACTGGAAGAGGAAGAAAAGGAAGTAGACTCAAAGGCTAAAAATGTGGCCACCTTCCCTTACTGAAAGAAGTGAAGCTTAAACCTCTGGATTCTAAGCTAAAAGAGAGATGGTAGAGCCCACTCTTACTCTTATGGTGATGAGACAGTGCCTCAGCTAAGGACTTCCAACTGAAGTTCAAAAACTGGTTATAGGGAGAAGCTTTACTACTCTTTGCCCAAGGGAGTAACACCCTAACAGCAACCAAGTGACTAGTGTAGCAGCACCTAGCAATGACCACAAATTCTCAAGAGGAGCTCCTTGGTAGAATATATGCACCATATGAGAACAGCAGACAACCAGCTCAGTGAGAACAGCTTGATGACATCACCAAATAGTATACCCCAGACTTATGAGGGAAATGTTATATTGGTCCCCTTCCCTTAAAAAAAAGACTGAGTCTCCCCAGCCTGCCCACACTAGAAGTGTAGGGGCTATTCACTGGGCAATCCCACTACTGATCAGCACAGGAACTTTGACCAGCTCCTTTTCTAAACTGGGCTGAATTTTCACCCTTTCTTAGGCAACCTTGTAACCCCTTGCTCCCAGGACCTCATCATACTGACGCTGAACCTAATATGTACACCCAATGGTCATAACCTACCAGTGCTAAGAGCTCCTGTGTTAAGAGATGTGCCAGTCTTGGCCTTCCTAGTAGTTGGGATCATAGGCAAATACCAATCCACCTGATCATTGCTATTTTTTAGCAATGCTTTTTCATTAAATACATTTGCTTTGAACTAATTGTGTCTTCTGATGCAGACTCAGAGATTACCTAGAACCTAGGGTAGTATATGTCCTATCCGGCATTCCCATGTGTGAGAAGGGGGATGCCCCAGGAGCCCTCTAAATATAGGATGTTCTAAAAAGTTTAAAACTACACTTAAGACCATGGGATACTCTGTATATTAGAACTTGCAAAATACAATTTCAGGCTGGACTAATTTTAACTTTGTAGATTCAGCAAGCACAAATGGCAGGTAACAGAAATTAAAAGAATAATTTTTATTTTAAAACTATATTATATATAGCTACTGGTTACTCTAATCTGCACTCTGCCAAATGATTAGTTGTGTGTATTCTACCATCAGCAAAAATATCTGCATTAGTAAGATTATCATCCATGTCAGCAAGCAAGCATAAACTGAAAAGCTGTGAGCTAAAATTACTTTATAATGAGATTCATTGATATTACTTACAATCCAGTAGTACCTAAGCTGACTTAACCACTCAAAGTCACTGTCATCACTGACTTTCTTTGTCACAAGAGATGCAAGAACATCTCTAGCATGGACGTCCAGCACCACTAACGCTCCAAGAGTCACTCGATTCTGCTTAGACAGTTTTCCACGAACTAATGTGACGATGTCATCGATCTGCCTACAGTTCTGATTTAGGTAATCCTCAAGAGCCTGAAAGATAACAAAGGAAACAGGAAGACAATTGTTCAATATAATATGACACTTCTTGAAATTAATAGCAATGATAACTATGTAATGATAAGCTAACTTTATATAGTGCTTTACATTTTGAGGTAGATGTTATTATCCTCATTTTACAGATGAGGAAACTGAGGTTGAGAGCAGCTAAGTGGCTTGACCATGGTGGTAAAGAGAGCGAGCATTGAGGGCAGGATTCAAATTCAAGTTTCCAAACTCAAAGTCCAGTGCCCCAGCTACCATACCACTGACATACCAATTCTGTTCACTTATGCTAGTCAGTAAACTTATGCTTATTATTATAACTACTATTCTATATAATGCAAAAACAAAATTATTCTTATTGAATTGGTCCTGTAGTAATACTAAATAAAATGTAAATAAATAAATGTAAAATAAAAAGTAATACTAAATAAAACAATGATGGAAAGGTTCCAAGTTTCCTGTATTTTCTTGGGCTCACAAAAAACTTAGGATCTTGTTTCTCAGTTTGACCCAAACCTTAATGATCAGCTCATTCTAGAGTTGTGCCTTAGGATAATGGCCCATGGCACTCAAACTCACAAAAATGGTTTATACCAGAATGCCAGTTTATCATAATATAGTGAGAAATATCATGGACAAAACACATACTACACATTAAAAGTTTGTTTTGTGAATACAGAATCAAGGAATTTAGTTATTCTTAAAAGGCATTTTAAAATTATTATTATAAACATAGCAAGTCATGGAGTCACTGTCATGCAGGCAAAAAAGAAAAGTTCTAAAGGCTTTGTGAACACCACTTCAAATGACATGGCAGGGTGGTGGACTGCTGGGACACAGTAAGAAGAGAAGAACTGAGCTGGCATGCAGCAATAAAAACTGCAGACACTCTCTAAGCAAAGACATCACAGAATCAGAATCACACAATATTAGAGTTGGAGGGGACCTGAGAGAACATTTAGTCCAACGCTTTCACTTTACAGATAAAGCAACTAAAAAGATCACAGAGGTGACTCGCCCAAGGCTACACAACTAGAAAGTGTCAGAAACTAATTCAGACCCAAGTCTTCTGAGTCCTCCTACCTATACCATATTTGCAGAACCTAAATCTAGGAAACAGAATAATGAACACTACCAGGACTTAGCACAGTGCCTGGCACATAGTAGGTGTTTAATTAATGCTTGTTGACTTGACTTGACCACCAAATCTCTAGCATTTGTGATTCTGAAACACCTAGCTGCTATCAGAGGCAAGATTGGAACCCAGGGCTTCCTGGTAGCAATGACAGTCCTTTATCCCATAAACACCACACTGCCTCCCAGAGGATGTATTCCTAGTATAAATATTTGATTATATTATGGCTATTAGAGTTCCCAATGCTTTGACACCATTACAAATTACTTTAAAACTCTATGGTTTACACTAGACATCCCCAACTGACAGGCAACAACCAGATTTACATGACTGATTAAAAGATTAACAGCTATTGACACAACTGACCCAACCAGAAGAGAGGCCATCGAGGCCAAAAGTCACTGCTAGAAGCCTCCTTCTATGCTAGCACACTCTTTTCCTCCATACCCCTCCCCCCAGCAAGTTACTATCACTACTCATTACTGCTTATCTTGCAGAATCTGCAGGTACCTCCCCACTAACTTACACTGTTGGCACCTGTCCCCTTCAGACACGCCCACTTATCAAATTACTTTTTTCACATGCAATTAAGAATATTTACCTGTAACCCAATCTTAATAGCTATTTGTACTTCAGATGTCCAAAAGGTCTGAGATACACAAAGAACTGTTTGTCCAGGCCATTCTCTTACCCAATTAATACGTTCATTTTCAGGGTAGGCAGCAATTGCTTCTCCAATTACCTGATCAAAAAAGAAAGCACTGCAGTTCAATCATATTGTATTTTATTTGAACAGTTATTTAGTAAAAATTAATACTAAATACTAAAATACTAAACAGTGTGACAACTTAAAAAAAACATTATTTCTGAAGGTACCATGCAATGTGACTTCACAAATAAAACAATTCTATGAATATATGAAGATAGCAAGAATATTAAACGTATTGATGCTTTACTCATGGCATTATCAACCTAAATGAAATATTTTGTCTGAATTAATTCAACCCCTGCCTCCCTCCTCTCTGCTCCACCCCATCCCCCCCAATTCAATTATGGACCCTGTGGGTGAGAATTATATATAAAGAAAGCTCTAAGACTCTGATAAGGAGCTCCTGAAATGAAAGGGAACTTCTTAACAGGTTATTTTCATTAAATCTCCTTGTGGACTGCTTTTACTTGGGGATTACTAAATAAGTTTTTATTAAAGAAGTTGTATATCATAACCCTAAGGCTTAAAGTGGTTCATTGCACCTGGTATAGAACCATGAACCTGGTATATTTTCTAGCAAATTTATTATAATCCTCAACCAAAAAATGGCACTAGATTTAATATCCTTAGAAGACAGCCAATTTAAAATGTGACTGTCATCAAAACTAGCTTTTTGATGATGAAGTCTTGTTACCATTTTGGATTTCTATGCTAAGTGGAATGCTGTGGGACAGGTGGTAGAAGACTAAGCAGAGACAATAAGAACACTACAAAGGGCCAGGAGGAAATCATAGAAGAGGTGGCACTCACTCATCTGTGATCGATTAGCTGCCCCAATACACTTCTAGTCTGGTGGAAGAGAGACTTGAGTAAAAAAGCCAGAATTCTAGTAACAACCTAATTATTTTCACCCAGACTAAAGATGCTCAAATGTTAAACTCCAAAGTAAAGTAAATCCAAAATGTAAACATCAACTTCAAATTATTCTGCTTACTATCCCTTTTATCTCTGTCTCTCCATTTTGCAATATATATACATACATACATACACACATAGCTTTATAAAGCTTGAAAAAGTTTTCCATTCTACATGGCATTTTGAATTACCTTGAATTATCTTTAATTGACAAAATATCTGTTGATCACTGAATAATGGAATTATACATTTTATTATTAACTAATTATTATATTAATGCCATATATTGCTTTAGTATAGAGAGTCAAGAAGGAAACAGAGAATTTACCTTATGGAGAGATTTTAGCATAGCTCTCTCTAATTCAACCAACCATTTTTCCACTTGACCTCTAGCTTTGACTGTTGAAATTGTATCTACAAGTTCCACAACTTCTCCTTCACTACTCTTCATGTGAGTTATGTCTAAATTCTCAGTGAATTCTACCCTGGCAATTCCTTCAAAACATTTTTTCAAGTGAGGTTGTACCCTGTGGGAAAGAAAGAAAGAAATAGGTCAAATTCGGGCAGTTATTTAAATATTCACACACAGAACCAAGGTCTTCCATAGAAAAAGATGTGACAAATAAAATGGTGTGAACTTTATCATAAACTGCAAATCATTAAATCCCTCACACTGAATTATAGCTGAATCAACTGTTACTTTGGAGGGAGGGGCATATATTACAGTTTAATTGTTGTAATGGAGACATGGCCTAATGTCCCTCACTTTGATTATACAACTAAGAGTTAAGTGAATACATTTTTTAGATTTGTAAATCCTCTTGAAGGACTTAGAGCAGACATAAACAAGAATCCCCTTTGGTTAAGAAAGTATGGGTGGGTTTGAGGTAGAAACCTCTGGAAGGAGCACCAACACTGATGAGATCCCCAATCCATCAAAGTATCTTTTAGATGGATGACAAACATATAAGT